ACTAGGTGGTCCACTGTTTCTTCAGCTTCTTTGCAGAGGCAGCATTTGCTGTCTGTTGCTGGCAGCAACAGCAACAGCAGCAACAGCTTGGTAAGAATAACGACTATTTTACACTTGACAGGCTGAATAACGACTATTTTACACTTGACAGTCCTTTTATGGAGAATATGGATAAACTGAAACATGTCTGTATGGGCAGTCAATCTGTAACCCATCTTGTTTTATTATTTTATTTATTTGATAGATTTATATTCTATCTTTCTTCTAGGAGCCCAAGGCTTACCTCTTCCCATTTTTCCCAAACTTCCTTGTGGGATAGATTGGACTAAGAAGTGGTGAGTGGCTGAAGGTCACCCAGTGACCTTTGGTGGTTGAGTGCAGACTTGAATTCCAATAGAAAAGAATATACGTAGCTCACGGTTGAACTGTGGAGTCCTTGGTGCTCTCTGAGCTTGGTTGCTTGCTTGCAGATGTTTCATTACCCAACTAGGTAACATCATGAGTTTACGTAAGTGTGGGGTTAACAGGGAGCAAACCCCACACTCTCTAGCACTGATGATGTTACCTAGTCAGGTAATGAACCCAGCCAAATGAACCAAGCTCAGAGAGCACCAAGGACTCCACAGATTTGAATTTCACTAGTCGTAATCCACCATCTTTCTTATACCACACTGAATAACTGAGAAAATGGGTATATTCAGTTTCAAGAAGAGAAGATTTAGGGGAAATATGATACCAGCTTTCACAATAATAAATAAGGTACCACAGTTAGTATTGGACAGCAAAAACTAACCACTCTTTTACTTCTATAATAGGTCCAACCTCATGGGGACTAAGTTTACAGTTTATGATAATGGAGTCAACCCAGTGAAAACGACACTGAGTTTGGAGGCAAGCAATCTACGCCAGGAGTTAGCTGCTATTTGCTATGTAAGTACTTTTCATAAGCAAAGTAAGCAAACCTGTATTAGTAGAACAAATATTAATTATTGGATAGAATATTAAAGTACTTCAACATGTTTATGATTCCAGAGCACATATTACATGGACTCTAAAGAATACTGTATACATACGGTCTTTGCATCAGGGGTTTGCAGCTTCACACTTATGCCTTAGGAATGTGTTATTGCAATAACAGCATTATCTTTGCATTAGAATTGGACTTAATAAGTTTCATACACTATTATAAGATGGTAGCTGGGTATTATTCTCCTTTTTAATTTCTGACTTTCATTTCTTTCCTGTTGTGTCTTTTATACTGTGGATAGGGATTGCCTTTATTTATGTGTATGCTACTCTAGGAACTTCTCTAGTTGAAGAACAAAATGTTATTTCTTTAAAAAAGAGTAGAACAGTAATTCTTACAAAATCAGAAGATGTCCAAGAGGCCTGTGCAATGTTACAGGAATTATTTTCATTTAAGATGCTGGATATCTTGGGGAAAGTCCAGCCCCAACACAGAATGACTGAGGAAATGCAATGTCCAGGCTGATCCAGTTGGTTTATTCCTATGCTAAGTAATACTTAATATGACATGTATCTCCTCTGCTGCTCTCGTTTCCAGGAACACAGAGCTTGAGCATTACGATGAATAAAAAATAGATTAAGCATATACTTGCTTTCTGTATTAGCCTGGCAGCATGGTGATGCTGTTTAGCATGACATTGTATGAAGCATCATTCAGTTTTAGCCACACCAGTGAATAGAAGACTAGGAAATGTTTTGAAAGTTAAACATTTTGTCGCTTGTGCAGGACAGCTCTTTTCCTTCAGTTGCATGGACTTGGCATTGTTCAACAAAGGTTGTTGATATTATGTGTGGAGTCGTCTTTGAAGTGGCCATCTGTAAAAATCTACAGTTTACGTGCACTGAATTGGATGTAGTAATACTGGTGTTAAGTCCACAGTAAATAAAATTAGTGAATATATCCATTGATTCACCCGCACCCATTTGTCAATAACCATGAAGGTTGCTGGATGAGTCATCCAGCTAGAACACAAACGTTCTCAGAATTTTCTACCCTTGAGTGACTTTTCCCATTGAAGTCTTGGATTTCCTGGAGCAAGAATGACTCATTGGATGAGCATCTGATGTACAAGATACAAAATACTCAAATATGCACACCATATGCTCTTAGTTCATGGTGATCATGTATCCCTTTGCATGTGATCATGAAGATATAAAAAGAATTAAAAAAGATTCCAGGGTAAGTCTCTATCAATAAAATTCTTTTACCCAATAAAAAGACAAAGTCTTTTTTAACCAGATTTCTTGAAAAGGAGAAGGAATTAGGTTACAAAATCTGGACAACTGATACTTTCAATTTAGCACCCAATTTGGTTTTAAATAACATTTTTATTTCCTAAAATTTAATATTTATTTTCATTTTAGAAGCCAGTGGGAAGCATTCATGACATAATAGATCACCTTTTTTATTCTTTAAAATGCCTGAAGTGTGTTCTAGTGTAATGGCAAAGGTGCTGAACTAACACTAGGGAGAATCAAGATTATGGAGATTCAAGATCATCTTTCACCACACAGGGTGAATTTTAGCCAGTCACTCTCTCTAAGCCAGAGTACCTCATAGGATTGTTGTGGGAGAAAAATGAAGGAAGAACTGTGCATATAGCAAATAAAATAGATAGCACCCTCCATTTCCAAATTGGCTAAGGCTAAAAGGAAATTAGGATTTTTTGCCACAGAGAATTATTTAAAGCAGTTTAAGATAGTTCCTTAAGATTATCTAATCTTAGTGAAGAATAATACAAATGAGGAACTATTGAAGGAAAGCAATTCATATACTTTTTAGGTCACATATTTTAGGGCTGTTTGCTATTAAGAAGGTTTCTAAAAATATACTTAGGTTCATGTTTAGAGAATATTTTTGTGTCACATTATCATGGGTTCTTTTTTAAACCATGCCCAATTGGATTGACCCAGACTCAAGAGAGACACAAAAGCACAGGACCCCGGACAGGTGGTTTCTTTATATCTCCCTATAAGGGTTGGGGGAGATGCTTTATTTTGTAAAAACAAACATATGAAAGTGATATGTGAGTGCTTCCTATATTCTGTTCTACTGCTATCGCTATATTATTACTATGATAATTACTGTTACCTATTACTCTTTTACAATTACCTATATACTGTGCTGTATACTATTAGGCACCAACATTTCTTTCTTAAACTTGTTCTGTCTTAAGTCCCCTCTGTCTGAGATTTCTTCTTCTTTTTCTGTTAATGGCCAGCACATAGACCCCTTGCACTTTTTTTATGCTGTGCTTTGTGTTGGTGGGCTGCTGTACTTCTTTTCCTCTCTTCTGGGTCGTCCATTCCTTCTGAAGGAAAAACAGCTTCTTTCATTTGGCTGCTATACTCAGTTTGCTGGTGGCTGCAGAGGTCCCAAACGTGCATCTCCTCTGTGCTCCTCCCATACCTGTGTCGAGGTTGCAGCTTTATTGGCAACTCTGCCATGCTGACTCTGGGGGGAAAGGCTCAGATGGGAGGGAGAGAGGGCAGCACAGGTGCCTGCACTTTCTTCCAAGCAGCCTGCTCTTCAACACACATATACAGTAAGTTCCTGGGTTCCTTTTAAAAGATAGCAGTAGCAGAAAGAAAAAGAAGAAGAAGAAGAAGAAGAAGAAGAAG